TCCTTATCGGTAGACACTTTAAGTTGGTAACTGACCAACGCTCGGTTTCTTTTATGTTTAATATGAAACATTCAAGTAAGATAAAGAATGAAAAGATTCAAAGATGGCGACTGGAACTTGCTGTTTTCAAATTTGATATTATATACAGACCGGGGAAAGAGAACCATGCTGCTGATGCACTATCCCGAGTTTGTGCCACTGTAGAAACACGTACTGCAAAACTTTTCTCGCTGCATGAGGCTCTTTGTCATCCTGGGGTAACGAGAATGTTTCACTGGGTTCGCTCTAAAAACCTTCCCTATTCCATTGAAGAAGTCAGAACAATGACAAAATCTTGTCAAACCTGCTCTGAAGTAAAACCTAGATTCTTCCGAAATACTTTTGATGACCAGAGGAAACTTGTTAAAGCGACGGCTGCTTTTGAACGCCTTAGCTTAGATTTTAAAGGACCAGTTCCAACAAACAATAATAATAAATTCATACTTACCGTTATTGACGAATTTTCGCGTTTCCCGTTTGCTTTCCCATGCTCAGATGTAAGCTCGAAAACAGTAATTAAACACCTCAACAACTTATTTATGATATTCGGCATGCCTTCTTACGTTCATTCAGATCGCGGAACAGCATTTCTCTCTGCCGAAGTACAGGATTTTTTACATGTTAGAGGTATTGCCACAAGTAGAACTACAGCTTATAACCCTCAAGGTAACGGGCAAATAGAAAAATTGAATTCTACTCTTTGGAGAACGATTCTTTTGGCGCTGAAGACGAAGAATCTTTCGGTAGAAAATTGGGAGCAAGTATTACCACAAGCCTTACATTCGATTCGATCTTTACTTTGTACAGCCATAAATTGCACTCCACATGAAAGAATGTTTAGACACCCAAGACGATCTACTAACGGCACTTCTGTTCCATCGTGGCTTACAAATTCTGGACAAGTCTTGATGAAGAAATTTAATCGTACAAATAAATATCAGCCATTAGTAGAAGAGGTTGAATTGATACACAGCAATCCTGACTATTCATACATTCGGTTCCCAGATGGCCGAGAAACAACGGTGTCAAATCGTCATTTAGCACCATTGGGTTCAGAAGGGGTAGATCTGCGAATAAATAATGACTATCATAACGCCACAGAACCACGTACGGAAACAGAAGACCAAAACTTGGAAATTCCTTTATCTAATGAGATGGAACCTGTGGTACTTGATAATAGCAGAGAGCTAGAGACTGATCTACCATCATCACCAACGCCGGAGCCAACACTTCGTAGATCTGACATCGAGATACCATCATCATCACCGCCGGAGCCAACACTTCGTAGATCTGGCCGCGTCCGTAAAAGACCAGAATTATTAAAAGATTACATTTTAAAATAGTGCGGGAGAATGATGTAAACCTCTTTGATGTAAACTTCTTACATGATACTATTATAAAATGATGACATTGTCAATCTGTTTAGACACTAACTTTTGTCAATGTATCAAATGTAACCTTATATTCTTCAAAGGTTTTGTCTTATTTCAGTAACTGAAATTAAAACATTTTTTACATATTACAAGAAATTGTAAAATTAACTAAAGATGAGAAAATAGGGTAAAGAATAGAAATAAAAAAAATTATTCAGAGTTTTATTGAATAGTTGTGATCAGCGGCCAAAGGGACATCACTGTCTGAAGAGTGGATGGAAACAGAATCAGATTCTGTTTAAGTTTCACTAGCCGTAGATATAATTATTCTTTTTTTATATTGATACTATTTCGGATGCGGGCGACTCTTCCCCGGGGTGACAATTTTTTTTGGAAGGACTCGCCGCTGTTATACATTATTTTTGTAATTCTTGTTACAGTTCCCTCTGACACACCTGCAATTAAATAATGAACAATTAAAAATAATAGTAACTATAAGTTTATAATGCTTATTTACTATGTAATATATGTTTTAATATCAGTTACCTAGTTTCATCACGTTATGTATTTGTTCAATTTTGTCGCAAAAATTAATTTATATCATAAAATTCGCATCAATACAGCAAAAAATTATTATGTGGCAACTTTAAAAAAGTACCTGTTATGGCGGCGACTCTCTTCCGAACATTGTTTAGTGGTATTAAACACCTTGATTCTTTTGTTCCGCTTCACAAAACTCTTTCACCTTCAATATCATTTCTCGAGCCAAACTTTTTACAACTTTTGGCATTGTAAACAATCTTTAAAATGCACTAAGCTTGTTTAAAACTCACACAAATCTACGGCAACAAATGAAATTGATAAGTATTAAGTGATAACATCGACGAACGACAACATGGCCGACCTGTCAAATTTAGTTCCAAAAATCTCCGCGGGACTTCTTTCATGAAAAGGACTCTACATATTATGTACTGTGAAGTATGAATTAGCCACAGATTAATTAGACCAACTTAATTTCTACATTAGTAGACTCACTTAGAACTTAGGGCCTCGCAATGTCTGCGTCAATAGCTCTACATACAAAAAAATATGTACTAAAATGCGTTTACTGATTTAAACCAACAAATGTAGTCCTTTACTGTAAAAAAAACTGCAAGGGTTTTGTTTTTTAATGTCAGATCACAATATATTGCAATGATATATAATAAATCTACTTATATATTAATCTTTATGTAGTAATGACAAAAACATTGAAGATTTTCATGCTTGAAATGTAATAAACTAAATTTATTACTATTTTAATTAGCTAATCAGCAATGTAATAAATTATATTAAAAAGTGTTTGTAATTTATTATAATTTTTATTAAACTTAAGGCTAAAAACTAAAATACATGATTTATGGAATGTTATATTTGTCAATACTAGGATCTTGAATGGCTTGTTTTTTGTCACAAGTAAAAGCAATGGTCATGGCATATCGAACTCCTGACTTAACTTTTTCTACAAAATGTAAATTTTCATGTCCACTTGTAAAGATGCTAAGTCTTCCTTTTTTTGGTTCAATAGTAGTGTTGTATTTTTCATCAATAAACACAAATCTTCCTCCTTCAAAGTTAATATTATAATCACTTAAATATACTAGACTAGTATAGTGAAAGCTTGGGTATGTTTCCTGGAAATAATATAATTCATTATGACTATAGATTCATAAGTTAACAATACTAAAGTAACTCTTATATAACTCTCTCAGGGTTACAATTTTTACTAGAAAGAGATTGATATGTTATAGAAATGTAATAACCGTTATAAACTTACTTTATCAACATGGGAATGCCAATATTCATCATGTTTAGTAACAGCATTTCGAGAAGTCATTTCAGATATAAAAGTTGGGTGTGTTAAATAAATTTTATCAGCATTCACATTAAAATGATTTGCAATGGTATACTTCACTTTTTCTTTTACACTCTGAAAATCAATGGACAAAACAAAAATAATTGCAATATACAGTACAAAGTTCTACTTCAAGAATTTCATTAATAAAAATAACAAATGCTTACATAAATTGTAAATGTAATATAAACATACAATAATTGCTAGCTGTTAATTTTCAACTATATTATAATTTTAACTTACTCTATATAAATTGAAATCATCCTCGGTAAATAAATTTTTCATGCTATGGGACTCATATATATTTATGAATGCTTGACCTTTCGACATAGCTCCACTATGTAAATCAATAACTGAAGCTCCACCTAAACTTCTTCCATGTTTTAATCCTTTCTTAGCAATTGCGAGTAAACCTTCAACTTCTGTCAATGATACAACTGTATCAAAAACAAATCTTTTACATGACTTCGGAACACAGCCATCATAAGAATTAATTTCTTTCAAATACTGAGGAGAGCATTGTAAAGGTTGGACTTTTCCTGATAAAACTTCATTTTGTCTGGCAAATGTTCGTAATTCATCTTTTGATGTAAAATACACAACAATCAATAAAGATGCTATAACTACACCACGTGACAACACTCGCAAGGGAAGTCCTTTATGAATTGATCTACAGGAAAAAAACAATGAAAACATTTATTCACGATCAAACATTATTCATTTAGAATATTAAGTTGACACTTGTAAAGACAAAAGTGTTATGAAGTTCGTTTTACTTACGGTTTATGCTTGCCATTCTTGTTGTCTTTAAAATTTAATTCGTTTACTGTATCTGATTTTTTTACCAATTTACCTCTTCTTTTTATGTCGTTCATTTCTTATATTAAACGCTAAATAACATCTTACAAATGTTTTCAAAATAAACCGATTGATTTTTGAATCCGGTGTCCTGACTGCCGTCGCCCGTCGGCCCGTCAGTCGTCACCCCGCACCCGTGCACACAGATACCCAAAATACCTTTTTGACAGATGACCCGAGTATAATAAATATTATTAATATTCTATAAGAGATAAATATTAAAGATGCCACTCTTGTCAAATATTTAAATAAAAATAACTTGATGTTATGCGCCACGTTATTTATGTTTGTCTAACTTTAGCTAACACATTTTTGACGTACGGGAGTCAGACTTCGCGCTAAGTTTTGTTTTGTTTCTGAATCTTACCCTGAGTCTTATGATGATCATATTAATTTATCCCTAATGGGAAAGGCTAAGGACTTTAGTCCATACAGCTAGGTCTTGTTCCTGGTAATAATTGGAGTTTTAAAGGCCGAAGCCACGTCTTAGGTTTCTGTCTCGGCCATTTTTTTCTTAACCCCCTGACTCCTGAGTCTAAGCCCAAATCCAAGAGTCAAGACGGTTGTCAACATATTTTTCGTCATGATTACTATAGTATATATATTGGGTTGTAGTCATTTGTCTTTTTAGTTTTTCGTAATATTCACATTATTCTGTGGCGGTATCTCGTTCATATAAGTACCTACTATTTTGTATTTTTGTTGCAATTTGTGAATTTAAGTTAATTTTCTCAAAATTATTTGTATCAGCGGTCTCTCAAAATTATATATAAAATTTAGGAAAAGTTTACATTGTACTATTAGATGTACTTGCTTTTGATTGTCATTTTATAGCCATGTATTTTGAAAATGATTTCGAGATAGAGGTTTTCAACCATTCTCATCTATTTCAAGTTTTAAGCGGAGGAGTTTGTTAGTATTTTCATCTGTTCTCTTTATTTGCTGTTCATGTTTTTGATTTCCTTTTATTATAGTCGAGTTGTCTTTTAGGTGACATTGCATCAAGATACGATAATGTTAGAAGTGTACCTACACACACAGAAGATGGAATACCCATCAGAAAACTATATGTATCAAATCTTCCTGCAAAGGTAACTAAAGTATTTTTAAGTGACTTTTTATATTTATAGAGAAAGCTATAATTTTGATTATGATTGTAGACTACCCGCTCAGAGCTATTTGGCATCTTTGCTCCGTATGGTTTTATCAAAAGTTGTTGGTTGAGGATGGGGGATAGAGGCCCAAATAGATCACCAACTCCGACATATGCATTTGTTACGTTCAGCAATCCTGCAGATGCCCACAAGTAAGGCTTTTTATTTTAGGCACAACATGCACATTGTATTTTTTGTTTCACTATTAACTATCTTGACTTTGTTTATTATTAGGGCGCTGTTGGCTCCATTTCATGAAAAGCAGCTTCGTGGTTACAATCTACGTATATCCCCAGCTGACAGTTGGCATCAACCAGTAGAAGATAGTGAGGGAAGAGTGCACTGGAAGCCCCTAGGTGAAAGAACTGATGCCCGATTATGCCCTAATGATCTTGATCAGCATCCTGGTTGGTATATGTTTTTTTTTCAAAATTATAGTTATAATGCAAGATAAATTTGGGAGTTTTTGAATATAATTTCTAAAATATTTTTACCAAAGGATCTGAGGTGTCAATTGCTGGTAGTTCAGCAAATCATGATGGTGAAACCAATTCTCAGGTAATCTATTTTGAAATTGTTAATGCAGTATGGTACAGTAAAAGTACTTATTTCTATTTCTTTTTATAGTTTTGCTGAAGTATGATGTGGTTTGCATGATATTCCTGTGACTAAGATGTTTTTTTTAATGTAAAAAATAACAATAACAATAATTCAGCATTTAAAATGAATAAGTAATGAGTTTTTTGCCAGAAGTAGTCCAGCAAAAAAAACACATTTTTCATAACACTGACTGCATGTGTTGCATGCATGACAATTTATTTTGCTTACACTTTTATAAGTTAAATTAAAAAGTAGAATAATAATAATACAAAAATAAATCATGTGGCCCTACAACCTTTTTAGATCTTGGCCTCATATTTCTGAATCTGTTTAATGATCATTTTACAATCCAAAAGGCTAGTAGGTGATAAGCCTCCTGTGCCTGACACACCCCATCAACTTTATGGGTCTAAGAAAAGCTGGTTTCCTCACAATGTTTTCCTCCACTGTTCAAGCAAATATAAATTGAGCACTTAGATAGAAAGTCCAGCTGGGGATCTAACCTATTACGTCAAGGATGAGAGTCGTATGCTGAAGCCACTAGGCAAACACTGCTTATAATAATAATAACAGCTAAATAAAATATTTAGTATTCTTATAATATAATTAAAATTTCATTCAACATGAATGTTTTTAACTGATATATTATAGCTTTTTGTTGGAAAACATGAAACAGCTGAATAAAGACTGGATGTGAATGGAATCTGCATTTAAGTTATTTTAACTATAAAGTAAATAGCCAGTGTTTTTTAGATATTGTCTATCAAAAGAACTAAAATGTGCTGAGGAGTGCTAGATTCTATTTGACTATATATTTTCTGCTGATAAGCGTTGGGGTGGATTAAATTCTGTGGAGCTTCACTTGTATGATGAATCTTTTCTTGTTATATAGTGTTGTTTGTGTGTGCATGTGTTTTTCAATATACATAATGATATGTATGTATATAAGGCATTACCAAGTAGTTATTAATATTTAATTACAGAAATCGGAAGAGGATGATGACAGTGATTCATATAATATACTGAATATTCTCAATCAAGATTGCATGTCACACATACTTAGCTATGTACCTGTACTGGATTTAATTAGATCAGAAAGAGTTAGCAAGAGATGGCGCAATATGATTAATGAACATTTACAAGGTAAAAACTACTTTATCTATTTTAGACACGAAAAACGTTTCGTGACCACCCAGTGACTCTTTATATACCTAAAAGTTACCATTATGTGGTGTAATAGTACTGGAAAGTCGAAAATAATATTAACAATAACGCGTGATTAGCATCGTAACGTTTTACAAAAGGACCCCCTGCCAAAATTCGTTACGTAATACTTGAACGCTCCCTTATTATAAAAAAGTATAAAGTATATTATAATTTAACCAATACCATATACTATTTTTTACACCCGAAATATGACCTCTGAAAAAAAATTACTTTCATTATTAATAATATTATTCATGTAAAAAATCTTGGTGTTTAAGACTTAATAATAAAACCCTTCAATAAATGTGAAACATAAAACATGGAACTAATATTGATTATTATTAATAAAAGTTAATATCAATTACTTTTAGCCATTGAAATATTCTTTGATATTTCAGGTATACGGACATTTAAAACTTCCTGGTGGCGTGCTACCGGAATTCGGCTTACCACAGCAGTATTGCGTCGATTACTGCAGCGATTAGGGGGCTCCCTTCATCATTTGCATATAGATCACAGCTGGTCTGCACTCAATGACCGTACAGCTCATACAGTGGGCAAGTACTGCCCGAACCTTGAAAGTTTAAAGGTAATTTTTATAGAATTATGATTTTTACAACTGTTCTGGAATGTATCTATATAAATTTAAGATAATTGTGAAAACGCTTTATAGGCTTAGTGGTTACTTAAAATCTTTTAGTTACCTTTTCTTTGTGTGATGTTTAATTTCTGAGCATTTTGTTTTTGTAAGTAATTTTAGGTGCCCACTTCAAGTTAGGTGCTTAATGTGGGATCATGGTAATGTTAAAATTAATATTACTATTAGTAATTGTGAATTTTGTACCACAAAATAAGTTACATATTTCATATAGTTGTTACCAAACAAATACTTCGATAAATTTAAATACAAGTTCAATTTAAGTATTAAAAATGATAATATTTCCTTTTATTGAAGTTATACTTCTTTAGGCGCGTTATGAAAAATTGATGAGAGTGAAATTTTACGATGCGCGCGCACCGTGACACAAAATTTACAGAATGAAGTTGCCCACGGAAGGTGCTACGGCATTGGACATAATTTAAAAACAACATTCGAATAATAATAGAATTTATGTTACACTTAATGTAAGAGAATAATAATAAATATTTATTTATTTAATTTTACAAATGTAAACTGAACTTTATTTACTATAATGACTCCTTTTCCAGTCTTTGATTATTTAATTGTAATTAATTATTTGCATGCAATCAAAAACTATTTTTAATAATGCCAAAGAAGTATAACTTCTTACGCGCGTACATAAGTACACGCACCCTTTTTTTTTTCTTAAAAATGTCTCAATTATTTATTTCTCTAATTGCAGGTTGTTAGTATGAACACAAAAAATTGGAATCCTCTTATATATGGCTGCAAAGAACTTACAGAGTTAACATTTGTTTCCTGCCATAAGGTAAATATACCCATACATAAATGTTGGATTATGAGTAAATAATATTTATAATTATATTTTTTGATTCTGGGATAGTTTCAAAAAAAATATTGTGGTCTGGTAAGGGTTGGCCTAAGATTACGTCAGCATATTTTGTTCGAAAGACGGTATTGAACCCTCAATCCCTAGAGCGCAGTGGTCTTATAGATAAAAATCCTACATTTTCCTCCAAAGTTGAAGAATTTTAGTTGTACTAATGAATTGGCACTTAGTTTGAAGTCATCTTAATTTTATTTCTATTTCAGCTTACTGACTCTAGTTTAGTTCATGCCGTTAAACCGGAATCAAAGGTGGAAAAGATAAGTGTGGCAAATAATTCTCATGTCACAGGCCTATTTCTTAACATAACTCAACCGTCTAAACTCACATCTCTATCGTTTTATAACTGTTATAGTCTTCAAGGGCCAGTGTTGTGCGTGGCTTTAAATATCCTACCAAATCTGACCACCCTTAAGCTTGACTTGTGCCCGATATATGTGTGGAAAGTGATACCGTTAATACTAAATAAATTGCCTCAGTTAGAAGAACTATCACTCAGAGAATATATGACGGTGGGTGAGTGTGTTATGCAAGTCAGTACGGATGAATTTTGCAGTTCCTTTGCAACTTTGAAGAATTTGAAGCGACTTCATTTGAGTAACAACATATATGTGTCTAATAGTGTATTGAAGCAAGTGGGACAGACGTGTCATGAATTGGAATATCTCAATATATCTAATTGTAATTCCAAATTAAATTGTGTGCAACCAGGTAAGTTATTATCATGCCCCGCCGTTTCAGCCTTTTTGACTATAAAACGAAAAAATATCAGTTCTTAAAAAATTTGTATTCACTCTTCAATTCACTTTTAAAATATGTATATACCAATCGTTTCTACAATTGTACATTTTAATGGTTAACAAATCGCAAATTATATACGTATTAAAACCTGGTTTTTAATTTACACGTAAACTAAATTTTTCTGACTAGTTTGCAGTCATGCAACTCAGTTACGTAAAAAGCTAAATTTTAGATTTTGGTAATATTATAGAGGAAAGATTAGATTGTATGTAATTGAACTCTAAAACTACTGAAACAATTTAAAAAAATCTATAATGTATCGTTAGGTTTGTTAACCAAAATAAAAAACATGTTGATTTATTTTGGTTACCATACCTATAACACTCTACCATTAATAAGAGCGAAGTATATTTTTTTCTTTTCTGTTAATAAAAAAAAACCTAATATTTAGATGAGTTTTCTGAACTAAAACAAAAAAAAAATGACGCTGCCACGCTTGTTCTTGACCTCAGATGTCATCTGTGATAAATATGCAGGACGGTGATCAACCCACTACGCCGTTCTTTCTTACTGGTTTCCTTCCATACGAGCGGTTGTTAAATGCGCACAAAAGTCCATTGGATCACGGCCAATGAAATTAAAAATTATTTACGTTATATTTATTGATTGAGAAAGACTTTAAAATATTTATCGTGGGCGAAACCAGAGGGCACAGCTAATTATAATTAAAACAAACCCGTTTTTAAGTACTAATAATACATTTTTGATATTCAAGGAGCTGGCGATGAAGGTGTAATTGCGATTTGTTCTTCATGTCCGAGTTTAACCTACTTGGACGTGTCATATCTTGCGGGGTTAAGTCACACAGGCCTCAGTGCAATTGTCAAACTTAAGTCCCTACAAACATTAATATGCCGAGGAAATCCAGTTGTCACAACCACCCCGTTCATTGATATTGTGGAAAGCTGTCATTACCTCGAAGTAAGTTGGTGTTGTAATCCTTAACTGCTTTATTTACATGACTAGACTATGAGGACTTGGGTTTAAATCCCTAGTGGGGTCAGAAAATTCCATTTGCTTTATTGTGTTAACATGTTTGACACGCAGGTGGGGTTTGAAATATGCAATTTCGATTTTTCATTTCAATGGTGGCCGTAGTTTGGAACACTGCTCTCGTGGTACGGTCATGTCGCATACCATCGCAGAGTTATGGAATTAAAAGTGCTTCTCTCTGCCCATACACTTATACACTATGCTTGTTATTCTTAAAAAAAAAGAATCAGTGAATTGTATTATTTTAGTTAAACTAGTCCCTTTCTGTCAAAATCTGTTCATGTGATGAAAAGAGATAGATGTGTGCTTTGGTTAAAATGGTAGAATTCGGGTAGTGAAGTGAGTAATGAAGTTAAATAATTATTTTTCTGAGGCTATTAAATTAGGCTATTTTATCTAACCATGCATATGTTTCAAAGTGTATATACGGTATGATGGAAATAGACAATGTACAGTAGACATAACATATTATATTTCTTAGCTGGGGAAAATTATTAAAAACATGCATATTAAACAGATAAGTAAATTTATTTGCTTTGTAACTATATAAATGTTTAGGAGCTTGATTTATGTGGGTGCAACAATGTGACTGAAGAAATTATACCTCCGTTAATAAAATCAGTTGAAGCTCACCCGAGAAAGATAGTCATGAGATTAGCTGGCACTGCAGCATATTTGGAAAATGAGGAAAATGTAGAAGACAGTGAAAACCATATTTTGCCAGCGGTATGTATATAGATATAATTTAAATGTACATAATATAAAACAAACAGTATTTTGATTTATAATGAATTTGGTAAATGTGCCCAAATAATTCAACAAACTTTGAATTTTTATGAACAAAATAAAATTGCTATTCAACATTAGTATTTTTTTATATTTGATTCGATTCATTCGATGTAGTAAACTGTCAAGTAACCTTATTGTCAGTACTTAATCAATCAAAATGTCAAGTGCCAAAAGTAGCCCTTATCATAAAGCAAACACTTATAGTAATGTTTACTTGTCATTTTGTGTATATTTTAGTAAATTAAAGCTCAGTGAACATTACTTGAAAAAGTGAGCACAAAGTGATTTGTTTATTCAAGTGTAATTTTTCTATGACAGTGGCACAATCGCCGTGATACACTAAATATCGATTTTAAAGACGACCGTTGCGACCCAAGATTACGTCCCGACTTCACTGATGACGTATACGATAATAGATCTGATGGATCCTTTGAATATGGGTTTGAGCAGGACGTCTATGAAAATATTATTGCCGAGAGTAAGTTGCACCTAGAAACATTTTAACTTTCTTTAATAACTGTGTTTATGAATTATGATTCAGATAAAAGTTCGTCTTGCCATTGTTTATTTTGGTCACAAGAGGCAGAAGTAAAAGGCAATGACGTTACCTCAAGCTTAATCACTTGACCATACTAATTCGTTTGGCATTAGTGAGTCACGTCTGTCACGAAGTGTTTATACCCCACACAAATTTTTGCTCGAAGAACAATCATAGACAGATTATGATTAAATCTCACTTTATGTCGTTAACGTAGAAATGTATGCTGTAGAGCTTGGGACAAAATTACAAAATGGTCACGTGACACCGTTAGCTAATTACCATTCCCATACAAATTCGCTTAGTCGCAAATTCGGCGGGGGGCTCAAGCCACTGGATGCCATTCCCGGTAAAATAATTCAGATTGAGACTAGACAGGAAGGACTAAACACTTATTTTTCTTAAATTGGCCACTTTGCATTTTTGTACTACCCCTATCAATTGTTTATATTTCTCTACAAATTTGGTTTAAACGCCTCGGTTCGATCACCTACGGTTTTGTCATGCTGTTGGCGTCTCTAAGGATGGAAAGTTCTAGATTTAAACATTTTCTTTATTCCTGATGAGTTCAAAACATACTCACAATACCAAAACCGCCCACCCGATCTATACGAAAACGTCAAAAACAACAACAACCCCAATGTGTTATTAAAATTATTTAGTTTAAAATTAATTATTAAATCATTTATATCTTTTGACTGGCAGGTTCAATTTTTTAATGCCTTTAAAACTAATTTTAGAGATAAATCAAAACAAAAAAAAAAAAAAATACGCGTACATTTATCTCCCTGAGCCGAAAAGAACCAACTGCTCAATCACCATTGCACAGAGGGGGATGCTGTTCTTACATGAAATCTCCGTTACAGTGATGGCTGCGATAAATAGAGAGAGAACAGTCTTAATAAAATGTGTTATTAAAATTATTTAGTTTCTTTGAATAAAGCCTTTCTTTTTGACTGGCATTCAATTTTAATGCTTCTGAGATAAATCAAATCTCAAAGTGTCAATATGGCCAGACTTCTCTGGATAATAATCAAGTCTCTTTAACTTCAGTTAAAACAAAATTACACTTATTCATATTATACATATTTGTTAGCCACTTACTATAATGACTATTATTTTTCAGTGTTTTCATCAGACGATGAGATGTTCTTAGATGATGATCTGGATTATGAGGCGATTGATGATGACCTGTTCGATAATGGATTTTTCGTCATTCCTAATTCTCACGAAAACAATATATAGTTCCTTCGTAATTTGAAGACACAAAATTTTTTTGTTACAACTGCTTTCAATCAAAGTGAATATTTTTTTGCATTTGCTTTTAAGTTTGTGTTTTTATTTTGTTTTTTAGGAATAGATAGTACCATGTTATACTGTCTTATAGCTTGCTTATAATGAACATAGATAATAATAACCTTATATATATAGACAGTTGTTAATAGTTGTACTGGGTATGTTAAATTGTCAAGTTCAGATTCTAGCAATGAAAGAATTACTTCTCACTATTAAGACAATTTTGGTAACATGTGTAATAAATTTTAGTTCTCATTTCAAATGCTTTATTTAAACTTTAATATTTTTTAATCAACTAGAAAAATGTTTTACTAGTGAATAAACTTTTTTCTTCAATGAATACTGAGTCTGACGCGTAACTGTGATTAAACTATGCCCTTTCACGCAGAATTGAATAATTGGCTTCCATTACCCATAACTTGTAATAAATATTTTTTTAATAAAGTAATACCGTGTCTATATACCTAGTAATAATAATATGCAAAGTCTGAAACATTGTGATAGATAAAATTGTTCATGTAACTTCATGTTAATTTATCTCAATGCTGGTATTATTTTAATTTTGTATAGTGTAAATTTAATGTTATAATAGTTAATACATCAGCTTCATTGTAAGCTTGTTAAGTTACACCCAATCTAATAGTTTACACAGTTAAAAATGTATTACAATTTTATCATACATTTGCTATACTAAACAATGGCTTACAGATTATTCATTCCTGTAACTTTATAAAGCAACAGCAAAACTACAACAATTGAATAGTGAGAGAGATTAAGGGTGTTTGTTTATCATCCTAATTGGTATTAAGTATTTTGAACAACCCACAAGGTTGAATGGGATTTAAAAAAAATTATCTGTGATGAATTAAAAAAATATATATTTTACTAATACCAGGTGATATTCTATACTCCATATATTGTGATTTGATTCACTTGTGATTTCTGTTAGGTGTATTAGGTTCTTTTAGTTGCAGTATATTTATGAATTTTTGAGCTTTTACTATGTTGTGATCAACAATTGTTTACTTTTGTATGGAGAATACTTTTTGTTTCACATGGCCAAAAATCATTTAGAATTTTATTATTTTTGTAGTGTTTTTAAAAGAATTGAACTTGGTTTGTGAGCTAATATTTTCTTTTCCAGTTTAAATGTTGTATAAATACTTGCAGAATTTTTTTTATTATATTTCAATGATAATAGGAGTTGTCATTTATTTTCTTATAAGTTTACCATTACAATAGATTTAAAGAGATAAAATTGTTTCAAAAATATAAAATCTTTGGTTTTATATATAATTTTTGTCTTAGAAAAGTAGTAAGTTATAAGTTTAAAACTTAGGCATTCACTATATCCTAACATTTAATTTTGTCTTATAGTATGTTTTGCAAGTTTTTTGTACTTCATTTGTGAATTAACATACAGTATAAAAAATAAAACATCTTTTATTGCAGTTTTTTTTTATATATCCTATCTTTGCTATCATAAATACAACAGCTATAACATCTAATCTTTAACATCAAAGTTTGTTGTTTTAATGAAAATATTCCACCATCTACCCATAATACCAACATCAGTAATTTTTGACAAAATTGAGGTATATTTGGGTTGTAAATAAGAGCAGTGCGCTTTATACAAATCACACCCATCATTTAAATCTGTGGTATACATAAAGGAGACAATACCGAAACTTACATAATGTAATACCCCTTCATTATAACTTTGTTGAATGTTTCTCAGGTGGTCTATTGATTTTGTATTTCTGCAGTCTTCACTTACTAAAATTACTTCATTTGTAATACTTTTCGCTTTATCTTTATAATCTGTCTCTGTAGGATTGTTTTTAGCCAAAAAATAAAGCGTAGTTAAGCCTGTGCACCACTTTAGTGCCTTCCGTGGATCATCTTGAATATCTGTCCGTAAATCTTGTAACATTTGTTTATAATCGATAAATAAATTCTTCCAGTAATTTGCCAATTTCTCTACAATAGTACCTTTCAGTTTTTCTGGAAATACTAGCCGATTTTGCAGGTTAGTAACCAAGCCAGGAGTTTTCTTAAGTGTTCTTAACATTTTAGGGACACTAATATATATATGGTATATTGAATTATATTAAGTTCTGTTCATCAATATAATTCAAAAAGGCATGCTTTTTGTTTATATAAATATTGAAAAATTAAATAATCTATTACAGTGTTTTACTACCTGAGACGATTCTGTCTGCTGTCACCAAATTTTTAATTTCGGCTGTCATAATTTGACAACATATAAATTATGGTAAATATGAATTATGAACATAAGCGGATAATATTCTACAATACACTGGTCACTGGCTAGTTAGTATATTAAAAGGGGTTTCTACTCAAAAAATTATTATAGTAATTTTTCAACTTTGGCTAAAATTATAAAAAAAGGAAATCACAACTCACAAGTAATAGTTCATGATTTCGTTAAGTGAATAAACAACAGATGGAGCTTACTACGCCTGCGTCTGTAACCGCTTCACACCTCGCGGCTGTTTTGCTGTCAAATCGTTCGTTTCGGTGTCACGTTACAATTTGGTATTCTGTAATTATATTATAAATAATTGTGTTCTTGTTGAGTTTTTTCAAAGGCATAAATAAGTTGATTATTAATTAATACCTTTCAAGACCTCTTTTTTACTTTAGTAATATTAAGTTATGAGGTAAGTGGCAGGAATATGCTTCCCATATTTTAAAAATGTCTATTATCTCATTATGTGGTCCTCTAATGGAGCAGACACATCTCAGGTCCTCTATTATTGATATTGGCATTGAGAACTTCGGCAAGCATCTATGTTATCAACATTTTATACAAGGTACCTATTTAAATAAAAAAATTTTTTGCACATTTTAGTGTGCCTACCTAAAATCTATATGGAGATTCGACATTCGATATCCCTTCAATAAAATCACCGGTTTTGTGTTGGACGTTGGTATTTATAATATTTGACAGCGCAAGACTAGATTGTAAGTTGTAACCTGAAATACGAATTAGAATACTAAAAATGGGCAGAGTTACAAATTACCCAATTATCTAACGTCATAATAAGAAAGGCTATTTAAAATTATACCTATCTCATTTAATTTTATACTATTTGATATTCTATCAAGTGACGATCTAGAACACGGGCCTTATAAATCTTGCTACTTCTAAATTATGAGTAGGTAAAAGCCTTCGTAATATGCCGCAAATATTTATTTGAATAAATTAAAGGTAACAGAGTCAAAGTCCCATTTCGTGCCAATATTTCGTGTAAATATTTAGTAAATTTTGGTTGGAAAATTTTACCCTTTTCTTGTGGGTAAAGATCCACTTACACCCTTGGCTTCTCTACGCTTACGCGACGCGTCATAGATCTTCATTTGGAGTTCCTGGGGTAGAGGCATTTCTGATGATTCAGGTTTTTCTGGTTGATTTGGCTCAGCTTGTCTCATAATCTAAACAGTACAATCATTTTATTTCACGTACAATTTTTTTAAATTTTGTATAAAATAGAATCCAATTATAATTATTAATTAGTTTAAACATGTCATGACTTCAATTTTGGTCGAAAGTAAAAAAAAATATTTAGACTTGGAATGTACAGAGTGGTAAACAATGTAGTTTGGTTGAATGATCAGTGTTAAGATGTATTGACAGCGAAATCATAAGTTAAATTCAAGCGAAAGTTAGACTGGTTCTATCGGTGGTTTTTGTCTGTGTCGAAAGCTTATGCTATGCTAGAAAACAGTCAATTTTAATCAAAAATGTGGTTAATTTTTAATCAAAACAACTCGATATTATCATAATACATCGGTCGTTATCTCCACTGTACTTGCAAAATAATAATAAGGTTCACATGAGCACATCTCTTCAACCATCAACATCTTACTATTGGAAATTCAAATATCTCTCTCCATTTAAACTCTACTTCGGAATAATTCAAAAGCAACACCAAAGCTACAGGAACCAATCGTAAAACTCCCTTATGATTGAGCCGTACTTGAATATGTTCCTACTGATGTTTCCCCTTATTCAACGTATACAAAGTTCACCTGACGACGGGACCATTCTCCATCCTATAACATTTGTCATTTTTTTAAAGCAGAACAAATTTAATAATATTATTCTTGGAAGTGTAAAGCGTAATAAAGACGCCAATAATTTTCTGGTTAACGGGTGCACTCTTTTGGAAACGAAATTGAGCCTTCATTCCCACTTTCAGCGATAACAAGAATGGGTCAAGAATTTGCTTGGTCACTGTAGATTGTAGTATACAAGAAGTTTGACAAAATGTATCAGTACCTATTGGACTTAATTGGCGAAATATACGTTAAAAATAAGACGTTTGAATCGCAAGGTAAGCAGGAGCGTGGATGACTCGTGTTTGCTGTGGAAACCCTCTGAATCAGTTATAACAATATTTGATGGGCAAGTTTTACCAAAAAGGATTTTCATGTCCTATATCTCAATGCTCGTATCTTCCAGTAGAGATATATATTAATTCCTACGATAACACATCCTATCAACCATGCTGCATCGTTATGGTCATGACCAAAGTTCAAATGTCGTTCTCAAGACTCCAATATGTTATGCTTAGTTCACACGCGCGCGTTCGGAACTCAATACGCATTCAACGTGCACATTTACCTTCACTGAGCGTGTGAACGGTACTGCCCCGTGCCCGTGATTCACGCGTCCTGTTAACCGTGACTGCCGCGACATTCGCGCGTCCTTAACGTTTGTCTTTTTGCTAAAGTTCAAAGGATAAATTAATAACGCGACTCTTGAACTGTTAAACGCGTAAGCGCGCAGTCATTCTCTCCACTGCGTCTTTCGCGAACGAAAGTGGAAACCTTCATTCACACGTTGCTAAGAAAGATGGCTCACGATCGGGTCACTGTAGATTACAACATGGAGGAAGTTTAATAAATTTGTTTCTATTTTAATAAAAATAAGTTAAAAAAGATTTGGCATCACACAGTACACCGAGATCCTTTCGCTGCTCGCACAGTTCTGGCAATGACTTGAGGGCAAGACGGTCGACAGGCGTTTCTGTGCTGAAGCACTTAGTGAATGTCCGCCGGCCCGGACGATACAATGCTATACATGCCCGCCAGGCATGGTCGTACCTGAGCTGCACTGTCGTGTCGTAAGACTCGAATATGCATTATAACTGAGGAGGTCAACATGCAGGTGTATCATGTGACAGGTCAGATGAAGATCCTCTGTACTGTGTAATGTGTGAAGTCGAAGGGTCCCATTCAGCGACAGATAAGTCATGTCCAGAATTTGTGAGACAGACAGAAATCAAAGTTAAAATGGCTCAGAGCTGCATGTCTTATGTCGAAGACAGTAAATATTTTCCTTCTGTTAAGCCTTCATATGCAGATGCATTCAGTTCAACAATTCCGGAAGTTCCAAAACCCGCATATTCTTCCGCAGCGAAGTCTGTATCTCGAAATAATTCTACTAATCCCTCATATAAAAAGACAGTATTCTTAAAACCTCGCTCTCCCCCTAAACCTCGACATGGTTATGATCGTGTTGCTCATAATAATGTATTGAAAGACTTCCAAGTTCCAGAGCCTAAAAATGGCAGTGCTCTGGTTGGTCACAAAAATAAAGAGGAAGAAAAATCTGATGTCTTAGAAATGATACTAGCATTATCAACTACATTAATAAACTCAAACTTACTGAAACCGTCCCACGTTGCCTCTATTAATGAAAAAGTTAAATCATTTAATGATATTAAAAATAATGGATTGCAAGATAATTCAATGGAATTTCAGGAGTGTTGTTCCAAAGAAACATGATTTAATATATTTGATAAATAAACATTCTCCCGTTGTTGTTGCGTTATCTGAGACGTGGTTGAAGCCAGGGTACCTATTTAGGATCCCAGGATATACCTGCTTGCGTGATGATAGATTTGATGGCCATGGTGGTGTAGCATTACTTGTCAGGAACTCAATTATTTTTTCTGAAATAGCGTTTTCTTCATTAATCTCTAATGATGCCATTAATATCGTCGGCATGAAAATTGATAATATTTCTTCGTATTGTTGATAGTAATATTTGCGAGTATGGAGAAGATATTGGTGACCTCGACCATATTTTCTTTTCTTGTTCCCAATATGACCCCACCTCCTTTCTGAATTCCTTACAATTACCTACTTCATGTTCCGTTTCCGACTAAAATCTCCTGCCTTTTACTTTATCCTTTATTGTATTATAATGTATTATCTTCTTTCATAATCAATAATAATATTAAGATGTAATATGTTTGTGTACATATTTTGTTTTTAACCAGCTTATCCCTTTATTTCCTTTTGATGTCTTTGTTTTTTTTCTCGCGTGTAGTTTCCCAACCTTTTACTTGAAACTGGCATAAAGTTAAAACTATTGCCATAATATTAAAAAAAAAGTTTAATGATTCAGGTAATGATTAAAATAAACATTGTAATCTTTAACTTACTCTTGTTAAAGGACGTAAAGACCTGTATTTAGAATCTTCGTTTTCACGTCCATAGCATGATGCCAGCACTACTATGAAAACCAACAAAGACAATACCAATTTCATTTTCAAAAGACTTTTGAGACTCAAACCAAATCATCACATATTTATAACGCTGGCGAATGCAATTAATTTTATCTCATCTCATAGCATTCTTTTGCTACAAACAATACTTCAATTTCCTGTGGTGAACAAGTATAATCAGTGTGATAAATTATTGTCGATAAAATTAATAAGCTATGTCCGCAACAGATAATTATCACGAAATGTAACTTAACCAGATATGCAGGTGATACGCGTAATATTATACTTTTGACGCTTTTTCACTGGAAAAGGTTCTGAGTAATTTATCCTTGCTGCTAGGTAAATTGACTTGAATTCTAAAAAAAACAGGTTTAAATCTATGTATTATAATAGATATACCGTGATTATATATATTTCTATGTGTATATGTTCTATATTTAGCGCTCATATCAGTAAAAATAGTTAATAGAATAGTTATTGTAACGTTTATTATTCATAAATATTGTATATAATTGTAAATTATTTATAAATATAATATCGATATATACAATGGTGGTCGTATAATTAGAAACACTACCAACGGTCCTTGACATTTTGTAAGATACTTGAACGCAACCGTTTTTATTTTTAAATTAAATAATAAATAGGACAACAATATGTTCAACAATTTATCATTTATTATAAAAACAATATAAATCCCATTACACAAGTTCAGTTTCAATATTACATTATGGACAAACATTTAAATCAGTTTAAAGGTATGAACAATAATGGTCAACCAATTAGAAACAACAACAAAAAAGTATAAAAACATTTTTTTTTTAATTTTTAGTACTAAGTATTGTTATTTACGAAATAGCTACTATCCACAGCCTACCAATAGTTATAATTAATATTAAGTGGCGTTCCCTTATTTTAAATAACAGCACTGCAACGACGTGGCATTGATTTAATCAATTTCATAATTTTTCTAGGGGGATTGAATTCCATGTTTCAACAAATGCTTCATATAGTTCTTTTGACTGTTATTACGTTTGTTTATAACTTTCCTATTAACAATATACTTACCAGAGATTTTCTATCGAGTTTTAATCTAAGATTTTCTATCGGGAAAACCCAGTCTAGTTAAAACTAAACCCAGTTAGTGCTGGGCGCTGGCCAGTCTAAAACGGATAAACGCTGTTCGCTAAGGAAACATTTGAAACTATTGGCCGTGTCCTAAACACAGTGATTGTCATGCTGAAAGATTCAGGTTACAGGCAAATGATCGTCCGACTAGGGAATCATTGTATGCTTGTACCTTCAATCTTTCGGACGTGTCTACTTCCACATCCGGAAAAACAGCCCCAAAATTTAATGTTACAGCCACCGTGCTTGACTATACTCCTTGTGAATTTTTAATTAAAATCATTTTTTACAGGACGTCTAACATAGCGATTTCCTTCGGAATTTACCATATTTATTTTTGTTTCATCTGAAAATTCCACTAATTTTCGGCGTATCAGTCTTGACGAGATGTTTCTCGAAAAAACTTCATTTTTATTCTGTTTGGAGCCATTAGTTGGTTATTTTTTAGCAACACGAACGATTAATGTATCTTCTCTGGAACAGGTTTTCCTTGGCCGAGCCTTTCTAAGAACATTTTCAACAGTTCCTTGTGTTTTATAATGATTTAAATGCTCAGCTATTCTTCTGCACGCCCAATCTATTGATCTATATGTCAATTAACAATAATTTTTTGCCTAGTTAACGCGTTACAACTTTTATTTTTGCCCATTTTTAACAAAATTAAATTCTGAATTGCTTAAATAATTGAAAAAGCCAAGAAAGAAATGTTATTCTCTTCTAATTTAAAAATGGATTTTTCTAATTAAGCGTCCAAGGGGCCAGTAACAGAAAATGAACTCATTACATCTGTAAGACTCATTTTGTAATTAAAAGTAAGATATGCTTTAATATTTTATGCATTTAATGAGTTTTTTCTTTGAGTGCCTATATTATTGCATGATTATTAATTATTGAATGTGTATATTTTTTACGAACATTTGTACGTTGAAGTTATTCTTTCTTTATTCATAAGAAGTGTTTCTAATTAAATGACTACCATTGTATATATTAATATAATATATTTATAATTTTTTTTAATAAATATATTATAACCTTTGAAATCTATAATAATAGACATGTAAGCTATAAATTTAAAAAAAGTATAAATTGTTTTATGACAAACACAAAGTGACAAGACTTTTTTCATAATGTTAATTAGTAGTACCCTACATAATATAATGTAGTCTATGATAGGTACTTACCTTCCGTTTAAATTTTAATAACCACCATTAGGTAATGAGTAATGTAATGTTCAAACACTTAAAAATGCTATCGTGCCCGTTTTCTTTATAATTCAGTTAATATTGTGTTGCTGGGAAGCAGAACTAAGGAGAAAGCTTTGTTGATTACATTAAACGAAATAATGGAAAAAACTACACCCATTGTTGCAGCTAAAGCTGGGATCATTTCCAATGGTCCAAAACGCTTCGGGCGAGGTGCTCCGGAAATTCCAACTGCTTATAAGAATGACAATATATGTTTTTGTAGTAGAGAAAAGGCAATTGTTTTCTGTAGAGCTTGTGGATTTTATTGTCACGGAAGAATTCGCATAAGATGCAAACAACATCCACGTGTAAGTTACCTAAGCCTACTTTTTAAATGTACTTACAACTTTTATTATCTTAGTTTAGTTTATTATGATGCTCCTTTCATTTACCATGTATCACTTTTAAATATGCGCGATTTTTCTTTAAACGCTTTATTATGACGACCTTTATATTTACTCTTAAATCTACATTTAAAACGTTACCACTTAAATTGCTGATATGATTTCTATCAAATAGGTTTTAAAATAATATCGACCTATAGTAAAGTATATCATATGATAATGGGTTAAAAATATTGTTTCAGGTAAGCTTCTTATTGGATATCACTGAATGCCCTCGCTGTCACTCATCAGTGTTCTTGGAAGAGCATTGCGCATCTTAATACTTATTGTTAATAAGACAATGTTACTTTAATAGTCTTAGGTAGGTTTACAGGTTACCGTTTATGTTGAAGAATTTTTTTTGGTTTTTATTAATTGTTTATAAAAGGCATCAACTGCCACAATTTTGCACTATAAAAGTGGGTTTTTATAGAAAAAACATGCTTTTTATAGTAATAGCGAAGACTAGTCTACGATAGTGAGAGACAGATTTAATTACCTATAGTCCAAGGGTCTTAGGATAAGTTCTTAGTTGATTAAAATATGCAACATATATTATTTAGTTTTTTCAATTGCATCCGAATTCTAACAAGTTATGGTATTATTATATAAAAATAATGTACACCAATTGACTATTAACCATATTTAATGTTCTCTATTATAATTAAGACTAGGTATATACAACATTACATTTAATAATCAAATGGAAAACCAGCTAGGTATATCACTTCTATCCCTGTTGCGATCAATATATTGTTTAAATGTTTTCTTTGTTTCTTCTAAAGATTTCAAGTCATCCTCTACACCACCTTTCTTTTTTTCAAATATGTTGGGAAATTCAAATGTTGTAGTTTTAGGCTAAAATAAAGTTTAATTTAAAAAAAAAACTGAGTAAAATATAATTTAAATTAGTGTAAAGTACATAAAAAGTAAACTTATGTCTTAGAAATTATATTATTTGGAGATCTTTTTTTCAACAGATTAGTTTTAAAGATAGTTACATATTAAAAATTCAACAGAAAACTTGCAAAACTCTTGACTAGACAAGATATTTAAAATTCTGACAAATGATGTTTCTTACCAAAGTTACAAATGCAGTCTTTATATCATCATCCTTGACAACATAACCTTTGCCAATATCCTTTCTGAATTTCCCAAGTGAAATTTTTGTTCTAACATGTACTACAGGTACATTGTATATCTTCTCTAAATAGTTTTTTATATCATGTTTAGTCATTTCCATAGAACATTGAAAATGAACAATATTTGGTTGTTGCCGGGGAGGTGGATGTACTAATTTCATCCAAAAATTTGGTAAAAATACACGAAGTTGTGGGTTGCCCCTTTGATAAATTGGATACCTAAAATAAGAAGTAAATAGACGTAAAGTTATATAAACAACATAAAAAGCTATTTAATAAAAATTCCAGTTACCAGCGAGTAGACATTTTATGGAAAGGCCGTGGGTGGTAAAAAATAGGTGCAGAGCAAATATTTTTGGATTTAATTAATGTATTTTATGTTGTATGGGTAAATATAAATAATTAAGAATGTTTTTTTTGTTAGGTTATATATTGGCGCTGCCTATAATGCGAAAATTTCGCCAGCGAAATGCAGTAATGCTACAGATAAAACTAGAATCTGGGCCCACAAATAGCTTTTTCCATAGATAAAACATCACGTTGGTGTTCAAAGGATGAAATGTCGTTTTAAATGTTTAAAAGATGGAAACCGACAGATAATGTATTGAAAAAACCTACTTATCCACTAAATACATCCAAATTTAGAAACTGAACAAAAACTAAATTTTGTTAGAAAATCGATTTAATAAACATATGTTAATATGTTCACTGCAGGTAAATAGCAATAAAATAAATATGTTAACTAGTCGTCAAAGTTCTTGTTTCTTGTTGCCACAACCTAGTAGGGAAATATTTAGATTTTAGTATACCACTCGTATGTACCACTCGCACTGTGAATTCTACGATTCGAAGTATAGATGTTACACCTAAGAAGGATCTATTGCACAATTGTATAAACGTATAATATATAACATCTCATTCATCTGTGACTGAATGGTTATAGGTAAAAATACAAATACGTATTTAAACAGTAGAAAACTTCTCTTAATCTGTGAAAGTAAGTATTAGTTAGAAAGATGGCGGTGGCCTTGTCACCCGATCAAGAATTGGTAAGTTTTAAAACGACATTAATTTTGCGTCTAATTCTACTTGTTTTTGACGTTTAAATAATAACTTTTGTTTTATTGTTATTAGTTCTACATTTCAGTTAGGCGAGTATATAGATACCTTATCCAAATAACTTGCTGACCATGTCATCAGTGTTTGTTTTGATTTCCTGTTCAACGCAATTTGATGACACCTTAGATGTGTTTAATATTATATCTTTATATTTTAAGTCCAGATTTACTTAAAATTTCGTTTAGAAGATCGATCAAGCGAAACATAAAATGTTTTTTTCATAAATAACGTAAATCTTCAGAAATTCGCTTTTTCTAATTAAGTGCTACTAACCGCCTACAATTTAAAGTTATTGCATCTTCACGGTAAAGTTTTAGTTATTGTTATCAAATGGTTTCCTTATTAAACAGATTTTTTGTTAAACTTATAACATAACAAATTATCATTAAAAATTGTATCCCAACTATTGCCATGATACTATATTTTTCTATGAATTACACTCAAAAAGGTTACCTAAATGCTGTTTATTATATTTTAAGCAAATTTCGGTATTTAATTTGATTAAAATAAATTTTAATATATCAAATGACACTTTTATGATTATAAAATTATATAGGACTATATGTTATGAGCCATAGATTTTCCTATCAAAAAGAGCAACTAGCTACTGGTATATAAGTGTAGCATGTGTAAAAATTATATACACACGGAAAAAGTTGTAAAATTTTACTAATAGTTTATAATAATATACATAAAATATTCAAAGGATTTAGGAAGCAACTGGTTAGATTAAAAAACCAGGATAAAATGTTGTAAAAGCTGGGCCTGAGATTCTTTGTTTTTTAAAATATTTAAATGGAATGTACATATTATTTATAAAGAGTAATTAGGATTGTTAATTGTATTTTTGCTTGATAAAAATAATGGATTAGATAATAGGTATATAGAACATAAATTAAAGAACAAAAATGATATATATCAAGAATTCATTTGTACCACAGACAGTACAGAACTAGAAATACTAATTATTCCAACAATATATTAAAGGTAATCAAATAATCATTCAATATTATAATGATATGTATGAAAAATATTTAAAGTGGATCACCATTTATTTCTATTAGAACTACTTTATTTCATTTCTGTTGGAATGTTTGAAATATAAGTGCAATAAATGAAGAAGAATGAAAAGTACTCAATTTATTGCACTTATCAATGTTACAGAAATTAAACTTCTTGCCTTATCATATTGATATGGTTCAAAATTCAAAATATAAAGGTAATTTTACTATCCTAGTTCTGGAAACCAAGTATACTCAGTTTTGTGTTTCGTTTTTTTGAACCTGACTAAATAAATTTTATTTGTCGGTTTTGCTCCTTTGGTTATATATATCAGTGGCGCTACAACCTCTTTAGGTCTGGGCCTCGGATTTCTGAATCTTTTTCATGATCATTTTTAAATATAATAGGCAAGTAGGTGATCACCCTCCAGTGCCTGACACACGCCGTCGTCTTTTTTGGTCGTAAGACATGTCGGTTTCCTCACGTTGTTTTCCTTCACCGTTCGAGAGAATGTTAAATGCTCTGACAGAATATCCATTGGTGCACAGCCGGGGATTGAACCTACGAACTCAGAGATGAGAGTCGCATGCTGAAGCCATTAGGCCAACACTGCTCCTTTGGGTTATAGTCACATTTATATTTAGCCTTTAAAGTGTTATGCATAACTAGTATATTTATCGTATATATATATAAAATAGCAATTACTGATTATAAAATGTAAAAAAAGGAAGTGGTAAATGTTGAACAAATTAGTTAAGTGTAAGCTGGGACAAGTGGGGCGAGAAGTTGCCAGCTCATTATTCAATTGCATGGACTCCTCCCCTGTTTTGTAACCCTTTCTGTCAAGTGACAATTTAGAAAAAAATCTGTGAGAAATCTGTGAGAAAAAAAGAGCTATATTTTACAGATTCATAATAGTTAGCAATGAACTTTCTTGACTTCTTCTATTTTCCAAATCAGCAATCCTTATTAATATCTGAAAAGAAAATTAGGTTGATTTTTTCTAAATATGGCTTTATCTACAGAATGGGAAGTAGATTCTAATCTTATGTTGACAATATTCAGATAAAATCCAACAGAAATTACGAAATTGAAATCATGTGTATTTGGTTATTTTTGAAACTAAAATGGCTGAACAGATTGAGAATGAATGTCTAAGATAAAACCATTTTACTATTTCATACTGAAGAAATGGAGGGTTTGTGTCTGTTTAGGTATATGTTGCGTTTAGCTTGTTTTGCGAAATATGATATCATGCCGATTCGTAGAAATCTGGTTATGCTCACTCATGACTCTGTATTGAAAATATGTACTTGAGAGGTGTGAATGTTCGCAAAGGACCGGCAGGTCGTCAACACCGAGTGGCTTCGCGTTCGCAATTGTATTTAGTTGTTTGTAATTCAATACATTTTCCTGCATATCAGTTATATAGTAGGTTGGTAACGACGGCCCACACGTTCTCTTTATATACTCCCACATCGAAGTAACATCTTTAATAAGTTCTTAGTAGATAATAGACTCTCAACCAGTCTAAGGCTTTATTCGTTAAGCAATTTGTATTATTCCAGGAACGGCAGATGTAAGAAAGCTTTCTTTTTATTTACTATTGGTATGAATTAGAAGAGAATATTATTTTCACCGCCATCTCTACGCTTTGAAAGTTATTTAATTATGGGTTTTGAATTTAATCAAGTCGTTGAACCAGTTCGTAAATTTTTACAATTATATTATGATTTGATCAAATATATTCAGCTTAGGGGAGAGGTGACAGTTGATTATTGATTACTGCGTACTGAATAATGAATATTAATGAAGTAATTCTAATGCAATTTAGTTACAAAGGAAGTGGCTCCTTTGCAATTATGTAATCAGATTCCGTTTAATATTGATACGTAAATCTTTATTGAGTTTGCATTGAAATTTGGCCTGTAGGCACAGTTGTAATACGCGTTTACATGTGTACACTCGTGCGTGCGTCCGTCCATGTCTATTGTTTTCTAAACAATGCGGTGCCTTTGCTAAGTTTCATGTTACAGTTGTGTTTAATTGTTCTTAATGCTTGTGGAGTTTAGTTCTTTGATATAATATATCATAGATTACATTTATTTAAATAATTAAAAGAGTTTATGATATGACGTATGTATGCGAAATATTACTTGGATTATTTAAAATTCAGTCAAACATTCTAAGAATACAAACATTTAAAATTTTCACTTGAGGTAGACAGAAAAATAATTTTCATTTTAAAGTTTTACGTCCTTTTTAACCGCTTTATTCTTCAGACCTTTTGAGAGAGGCCTTTGCCCTGTAGTTAAAGATTAAAAGCTCTTGTCAGGATCTTAAGAATCCTTATGTTTCTCTTAGCTTGTCAAGCACGAGGCCTATTGTTAATGTGTAAGAAAAAAAATACAAGTTTGTGTTTACGATTACCTACAACAGATTTACATTGTATTTCTTGGGGTAGGATTTCGAGGCCAGTGAGTGACAGGGCAGTTGAGTCGCTCTTCTTTTCTTTATTTGTCTAGATAAATTAAGCACTAATCTATCCTTTCACCACAGCTTGAATTATAAATATAAAAGATATTCCAAATATCAGGTGTATTGCACGGTTACGACTCCTATTTGCTATCCTATGTATATAACCTATCATAAATAGTTATATTATTGCAAGAAAGTGACCCAAGCAGTGACTGGTATCGAATATTATATAATATTAATGTCGAAATGGTGCGTGTGCGGCAATACTAATAGCCAAACAGGATACACTTCCCGGAAGAATTAGGCCCCTCCCCTAACGCACTCGTCTTCTACACGTGTAGTGTTTACTGTCTCTGATAATATATATTGTTTGTCTATGTCAAAGTTTTATAAAAAAAAAACTCTTTTTTTAATTATGTAAGTGCTGTGTCCAGTAAATTGGTGCCTTTGACGAAATATGAACGACTAAATGTTATTGTTAGCCTGTTTATAAAACTTGATGTTTTTAACTAAAAGTACCTTGTTAATGTACAAAAATACAATAGAACAATTAATTATAAGTAAAAAAAGAGTACATTATAAAACGAATGCATTATATATATGTATTTAAAATATTCGAAAGATTTAGGATAACGATTTTACTGTTTACACTAGTGCAGTAATTAATAAACTAATGTGCCAATTTATTAAGGTTTCGTCGCTTTGAAGATTTGAGGATGGCGTCTGCCTTAATGAGGAATCTTATAAAGCTCTTGCGGGTAAAATTAGAAACCTTTTCTCATTATAAATATCGCGTTTGAAGTAGTCTAGATAAAAATAAATTATGGAAACTGGGACGGCTATCATGAAAACGTGAATTTAGTTTCGTCAAACGTAATTGGGTACAAGCCTCTTAAGCTTAGAGAATCCACCAAGCTATACCTTTCTGTTTGGTGAATTGTCTGGGCATTTTTTTTAAGAATCCGCCTACCAAGTTCCGCCGCCCTTGTCGTAGATTGATATTTTATGTATTTACGAAAGTATATATATTGTGATGAAAATCTTAAACTCGTGTTGTGGTTTTTTTTTAATTTGGTAATATGTACCCTATGTTACTTTTACTCTAACAAAAGACGATCAAAAATATCAGAACATTTCTTTTGTGTGAACTTCTGTAGTGGTGAATATAAATCTCTGTTATTTATAAGGTCATCAATTTATTGTACTTATCGCTCTCGCGTAACTTTAAAAATTTATGAACAAAACATTTCTTCACCTTAAAGTATTGATTAGCAAGTATTAACCTTGCAAGTATTCTCCAGTAGGAAAAAATTCATTACCTTATTTGTGTAGTTTTTTAACTGTTATCTAATGAATAATTACACGGCTTAACAACTGTGTCGAAACTTGTACAGGTTCGGTTAATAAGTTGCTTGTGTAAATGAACGTTTACGTAATAATTTCTATTACTTTTCATTATGTATTAAGTATCACGCGATAAAAAATATAATATATATAAAATATTATATAAGAATATATTTTTATAAAAAATATAATAGCGCCGCGGTGTCGCACTTGATCTATTTATACTAAACGCGCAAAAGTCTAGATTTCGATGAAAACAAAAATTAAAAAGCTATTAGTTTGCACAGTTGCAAAATTGTGTGTTTAGGGTACGAATAGAAGGTTAATTTTTATTCATGATGTGATAATTTTAAGTCGTTTTCCATGCGCTTGACATAACAAATGTCTACAAGTTTATTGTAGTTGTTTTACAAGACATTAACAGAATAAACAAGCCGAAATCTTTAATTGCAAACCAATATTATATAGAATAGAATTGAATTGAAAATATGAGTGATTATATGAAATATTTGATTATATGAAAATATATTATTTCAACCTATCATGTTGTTTCAGGCGACAAAAGCATTTCTAGACGCACTTAGCGAAGCCGGTGCGACGTGTGTGACACGAGCGACAGCTGTCAAGTTTCTTCTTGCTCGTAAATTTGACGTTGCGCGTGCCCATACACTCTGGCGGCAACATGAGGCAACACGACGGAGGGAAGGCCTCATCAAGTTTGAGCCATTCGAAGATCCACTGAAAAGTGAGCTTGAAACTGGAAAATTTACTATACTGGTATTATTTTTAAATGATAATATATTATAGATAATTTCATCGTTATTTGTTATTGCATGGACAAGTTTTGTTAATAATTGATCCAAATTACAATTCACAATAAAGTAAAACTTGCTAAGGCCTACAGTAATGTTAGTACACCAAAATATAAAGTTAAAATGTTTTAGATTAACTTAGTTTATAAGCGACGATCGTAAATGATATACATACATAAATTTGTACAAAGTTATTATTTATCCCTATAAAACAAAATAGTTCTATCAAAAGCAATATTAATTTAAAAAAAAAGTATAGAAGAAGTTATATTTTAGTATATTAATTTGCAATATTCACTTCGCAATTAAGTATACTGTTGTATCTCCTTTACTTAAATGAAAGGTCACTTTTCAGCCCACGCGTGATGCTACGGGGGCGGCTATAGCAGTTTTCACCGCTAACAAACACTTTCCCAGTCTAACGTCGCATCAGACAACGTTACAGGTACACAATTTAATTAGTATAGAATAGAATAAGTTACGAGTAGGTTTACTGAAAGGAAGTCTCCTTAGCATTAAGACGGTAAGGACGGACAGTAAAAGGATGTACTTATCTTTGTGTACTACAATTTACCTGATTGCCTATTTATGTTTTAATGTGAAATAGTTTTTTTATGACATCCCAAAATGATCCCCAATGGGGTATGGCAACACATAAGTCTGTTTTATTGATAATTATATTAATAATTTTAATCTTAACATAAATGAAACATCTTGAGGATTTTTAGAATAAAGACATGCCGTTACCAAAGGTTAGTTAGAAGTTACTAGACCATTATCTTCTGATTAAATAATTTATTTACAATAAGTTAATTTTCAATTATTAATATTGTTTATAAAATTAGATAAAGCGCCATCTTTTTGTGAATGGAAACACTAATATAGAACTTTTCAGGGCGTGGTGTATCAATTGGATGTGGCGTTGCAGTCTCTAGAAACACAGCGCGCTGGTTTAGTCTTCATTTATGATATGACGGACTCAAAGTACACAAACTTTGATTATGAACTTTCGCAGAAGATACTCACGATGCTTAAGGTAAGTTCTCATTCAAAATAAATTAAAACACATACATTTATACATATATATTCTCGAGCTAACTTTTAAGTTAAAAATTCTATATTTTAATTAAAAGTTATAAACAAGTACGACAACCTGAGACGTTTGTCATCATAGGGGTCGAACACATATTTGGAAATAAATGCTGATTATCCGGTTCCTATCGTAGCTGACAAAAAGAGCTGATGACGTTGAACGTCTAAACAGACTGAATATACAAAAAGCCACAATCGTTGGCTTAAGAGTTACTATGAGTCACAGATACATATATAAATTATAGCATCTTGCGTTGGGCGTTAAAATAACCTTATTTTTAAATATTTATACATATTTAATCAGATGCCGTTAAATATGAGTCATGAAAACTAAGTTAAAACATTTGGGACCCTAAATAATAGTTATTTCTAGTAACATAGTTAAACACGTCTAAGTAATATACCAAAAAGGCGAACGTGGTTATGGATGTCACTTAAAGGGGGCGCTTATATCAATATATTTCTCAAATAATTCCTACTACTTCTATCATATACTGATCCTAACTATTCTCCAAATATTGTCATTATATACGTAAAAGGGACCTAAAATATAATTGTTTAGATCCCTCATCTAATTAATAATGTTTTTTTAAATAATCAAATAAGTTTATAGATCTTTAATCTCAGACCAGATGATAATTAATCACTTACATGATATAAATTTTTTCATTTTATATTTAAAATGTTGTTTCGTGAGCTATTCAACATATGTATATAATACCCTCAGTATTTAGATAATATTTCAAGTAATAAAATTTACAAGCGAGATATTTCTACGGAATTTCTGTTAATGAATAATTACAGGACAAGAAGTTGTCGCAGCTTTGTCATTATCAAATAGCTTACACGAGTATGAAGTTATTTCCGATAAATATAATATGGAAAGTGCTTTGCACGTTTCAATGAAAACCAATTAGTGTTTTTATTAAAAGCTTTTCTTCGATTTTTTATGGTTTTTGGAATATGATTATGTTCAAGGGTTTCAGGAATCATTTAGATATTGTTTATCTACTGAAACTAATAAAACTAATAAAATAAAAAATCTCGAATCTTATTCAGGCAATTTTAATTATAATAAAATAAAAATAATAATGAGGTCGTAGGTTCGATCTCCGGCTTATCACCAACTGATTTTCTTTCTATGTGCGCAATTAACATTCGCTCGAACGGTGAAGGAAAACATCGGCATGCCTTAGAACCTAAAAGTCGACAGCGTGTGCAGGCACAGGAGGCTTGACAAATGATCATGAAACAAATAAAGAAATCTGAGGCCCAGATCTAAAAAGGTTGTAGCGCCACTGATTTTTCTTTAGAAAATTTGATTTTAGATTATGTAGAAAATAGATGTATCATTCAAAATACAATAAACAAATAGCCACAAATTCAAATTTATAAGGTCGTAAAATCAAGGATGAAAAATTATAAAATATTTTTTAATTGAATAAATGATATTTGTTTGAGATAAATTAAAATTTTATTATTAATTACTTTTGGGTCTTGACACTGTCGAAATTAAGATAATCCCACCGCGTTTTACCAACAAAATTGATAAGATTATTGATCTATCTTAAGTAACTATGTATTATGATTGGAAATGTATCCTGGAACATACCGCGCGCCGATATGAGTTTTTCACTCAAATAAAGAGTGGCCATGCCCACCTGTCTCTCTAAACTAAAAATTACGCTGTATGTGTGATAAACATATTTACTTTATTTTTTGAACCCTTATATAGAAATACATATGTCCAAGTCGTTAACAACTATTTACATATAATTTTTATTATGATTGAAAGTTTTAATAACTTATAAACTCGCAATTAACTCGAAAAAATACATGACAATTCTAGTCAATATTAACTGGAATTCAATTCAGCTGGGGCTGCGCCAAGTGTCTCCTCTTAGTATAAAAGGAACGTCCTCGATTTCTGTTTGTTTATCGGCTAATTCCTTGTTCAAAACTGATTTCGAAACGGTTTTTTTTTACCATTCAAACTCAAACTCAAAATATCTTTATTCATGTAGGTAAACAAGTACACTTATGAATTGTCAGAAAGAAGTTAAATTAATTGTAAATTTACATTTACTACCAGTTCGCAAGTCAAGGGCGTAGAGCGGGTATGAAGAACTGGCAAGAAACTTTCCGCCACTCTTTTTAATCGCCAAGTATTGTCATACAAATTGTTTGAACTGAAATTCTCAATGTGAAATCTTGAAATTGTAAGATTTTAACCGTGTTAATTTTAAGCGCATTATTATTATTAATAACATATAAATAATATTTTACATGTAGATTAATAGTAAATGTACATAAATAGTATAGATAAAAAAATTAATTGCTAACTGCCGTATGACATTTGAATATGTGACCTTGCGTGTTATTAGTACTAGGGCTTTGCAGCATATTGGCATATAAATTACCCTTTTTGTGTATAGAACAAAGCGGTTGAAGGGTTGAAAATCTTGCCAGTGATAACTGAAAATTCGTAGCCGTTTCGTAGCGGGGTGGGCGGATGCGACCCGTAGCAGCCGCCCGCCGTTCACCATTTACGTCAGTCGATTTCGCGCAACGCGCCCGAGCGCTCGTGTGCTAAACTTTACCGGAATTTGGTAAAAAATTTAATAATTACGTTTAACACGTAGGTGACGTGTTGGCAATATAGTGGATATTGGATTACAAAAACATAGGATTTGGATGACCTTGTGATAAAAGTGTTTCCGTGTTTACGCTGTTTAATAAGTGTTTGAACACTGCGATTGTTGTTGATGTGCCCCGTTTATATATTTTGAAATCAATCCATAAGCCAACAGCTGAGCGGATTACATAGCTACGCTTAAATTAAGGTAAATTGTATTTATAACATCTTACCTAGTTCCGTACAATAATTCGCCGCGGAGCAAAAGAGGGAAGCGGTCTTAAACCATGCCGCAATAGCAGGTGTAAATTTCCTCATATAGATAACATAAATGTTGGAAATGTATTTCTTGGATGAAAACTGGTAATTAAAAAACTTCATAAATAGCTAAAGTTAGTCGGAAATTAACACGTTTTATATTACATATAATAAGACGGATTTCTAAAGTTTTAATCAACATCTTAAACACCCTAATGTCGTTAAACTAATTCATATTATTTACATAAAATTATAATTTTAAAATAATATAAAAGAAACATCAATGTGTACATCACGTGTCATGGCACGTACTAAGTACCCAAAACGGAAGTATCGCCTTGAACGTCACCGAATCGTCTCCCCTTTGGCAATGTCAATGGAAAAATAAATTTGCTATAAAAGATTAAAAATAACGTGTTTTATAGTCGATGCAGCCGATAAGCAATAAAGTGAATGCTTTTAAGACGTTTTTGTACAGGACGTCATTTAGTAATGATTTCAAGGAGGGTTGACAGTGTAAAAACAAAATACATAAGTGTTATTTTTAAAGGTACCATACGTACGGTATACCATACATTTAATAATGGTTTTAGCGGATTGCAGATGACCGTATTTTTTTCCTTTTTAACTCAGAACTTCAAGCATGAATTAGCTAAACCCGTTATTTACCTAAAAGTGACCTAGTTTAAAAAATGCAATAATATATTTATCTCGATTCATGAGCCGTAACAAAATTATGCAGAGAGTTCGTATATCGATGTTAACTCGTATTTCGTGGCCAGCGCAGCAAACGAATTTTTGCATACAAACATGACTTAAAAGTTTACTTAAATAGCGGATGCAAAAGATACTGTATGGCCTAGAGATATTAGACCTCTCTATCATATCTTGTCTAGTGTGGAGCAAAAGCCAAGGGCGTATGATTGCCAATTTTTCACTAGTCTATTATCTGCTCGGTCGGACAGCGGCGTAATTACATCATTAGATGAGCTTTCCGTGCCGTGTAGATTAACCTAGAAACTCTGAGCATCACTTTAAAGAGATAACATTTATCTTATAGAACGTTTCCTTATAACGTTAAGTATATATATTGATATTATACGCGGTTACTTGCGACCACACCTGGGTTTTAGAAGTTAAAATTGGTTAATAATTTGTAACTCTTGGATGATTCATGAAAATTTCCTAAATAAAAGTCCTGCTTTAGCAATTCTCAATTTCTGCTTAATATATACAATATCATTTCTAACACGACGAGGTTATTAACTAATAAATAAAATTTCAGATAAATGTTTAAAGTTCTCGAGTTTATGTGACGCAGCGCGCTTCATGCAGTGTAGTGCTATGGACAATTTAAAGAGAAACAACAAATTCAAACCAAAAAGTATTCATTTTACGTTCTTAATACTCAGAATTTCTCTACCGCTCTACCATAACATAGTTATAGTCATGCATTAGTTATGCGATAAATTTAGAGGTTTTGTTTCTAGTTCCCGACTATAAAAAGTACTTCTAAAAAAGGAATCATATTTTTTATTGACTGAATATGTACTAGTTTTCTAAAAATTTCATCCGTTTATCGTGACATTTGACGCTGCGGGTTATATAGTAGTATATATAGTTATAAGGGCAAAAAGACCTTTGTAAATGGCAGTAAAATCTATCTACGTTATCATAAAATCGATTCTGGGTAGACGTGCGGCTCGCCAAGCGTCGTATGATAATCGTAATTCCAGTTTAAAATTCATAAAATAGGATAAGTTTATTTGAAATTAATTAAACGAAACATATTAAGACCGATTTACGGTGTGTTGATTATTTATGGGGTGGGTAAAGCATCTGTTAGCAGACTAGCATTATTATTATACATCTATCGGTCGTTAAAACTTCATTCAAGCCTCCTGTTTGCCTTTTACGAAATAAATACTTAGTTAATTATACATTGCAACCGGGGCTCAATCACGCATTGACACTTAGCCACGTGCCAAGTGGGACTGCCAGATGCGGACTAGACGGATAATGATGTCTCAACCAATTTATTCATAAATTCT